TCTCTGGTGGGTGATTTCTCTCTTTCTGTCTCTATGTCTCTCTCTGTCTGTCTGGCGAGCGCACGCGCCCTATAGCAAAAACCTCTCCAAAAAAAAAAAAAAAAATCAGGACCATCCAGAAAACATGGAGTGTGCCATTTATTAGCGTGGGCCTGCAGAGGTGGAGAGTTGGATGTAAGCTTGTGATGCAGCTTTGAAAACCAGCCAGGGGTTTGCCGGGATTTGTACTTGTGCAGTATCGAGGAAAGGATGCTTCAGGAGCCCAGTAGCCGGCAGGAGCCTCCGAGTGACACACACAGCTCCCTTGCTGCTCTTCGGCCTGCAGGAAGTAAGGATCCTGGGCTGGAGGCAGAGGGCACTTCCTGTGGGATCTCACTTCCTTGGAGGTTTCTGGCTTCACACCATCTCTCATCTAACGTTCTCACCTGTCCAGTGGCTGTGACAACGGGCCCTGCGGTGGGGGCCGAATGCCTGGGGAGAGCACGTTTGCAGACTGCCCGTGACCTGTGGTGGGGGTTGTGGAATCGTGGTCTCTTGGCTGTGGCTCGTTCTCTGTTGACCGGGAGGCTAGGGCAGGGTGATAAGCTTCCCTGGGATCCCCAATCTCTGCACTGCAAAGAGGTCTCGTGGTTGGAGGGTGGAGCCAGCACTGCCCTGTGACAGGTCAGTGTGTCTGCCCCCAACCTTGATGTCTGACCACTTTGAGTCCTGTCCCCATCCCCATCTGACAGAAGAGAGTCGCACGGAGCTGTGTTGTGTGGCTTTTGAAGTTTCTGCATTGGTGTGGTGTGTGTCACACTTGCTCGCATTCCATTGGTCAAAGCAAGTGACGTGGCCAAGCCTGACAGCGGAGTCCCCCTGGCAGGCGATGTGTTGTTGCTAGGTGGCGTAGCTGGTAGCTGATTGGAGGGAAACCACCTGCTCAGGGCTCCTTAGCACACACCCTTCCCGTTTACCCTGCAAGGTCCAGAGCCCAGGCGAGGAGGCCTGGGAGGAGCTGGCTTCGGAGTGCACAGAGCTGGTTCTTGGGCCTGTGGCAGCCTTTTCCTCCCATTCCCTGTGGCCAGGGCATAGTGGGTTTTCCCCAGGCCCTGGGACACCATCCTTCCTGCTTCCAAGGATGTGCACTCTGCCTGGGAAGCTTGTCCAGCTCAGAATGGGCAGGGCTGGGAACCAGCAGTTAGCGTAATGGCTATGTCGCTGGACTCCCACGTAGTCGACTACGGTTCGAGTCCCGGACCTGGTGGCTTAAAACTCACGCCGGGTGCGTGTGCGTGCGTGCCCAAGATCCCGAGAGGAGAATGGAGGAGAAGGGATTGTGGCGTGGCCATCCCACCTGGGGAGTGGTTTCTCGCTTTCTGTCTCTCTGTCTCTCTCTGTCTTTTTGGTGAGCACATGCGCCCTATAGCGAAAACCTCTCCAAAAAAAAAAAACCATGCCGGGCACGTGTGTGTGCATGCCCAACATCCCGAGAGGAGAATGGAGGAGAAGGGATTATGGCGTGGCCATCCCGCCATCCCTTCTGGGGGGGTGATTTCTCGCTTTCTGTCTCTCTGTCTCTGTCTGCCTGGCGAGCGCACGCGCCCTATAGTGAAAAACCTCTCAAAAAACAAAAACAAAAACAAAAAAGGGGGGCAGGGTTTAACATTCCTCCTTTATTCGGTGCCCCCAGCCCCTGGGCCTGGTGGGGCTGCACGGGGCAGAGTGCACCCTCGGACTCGGTAGGGGGTGCGTGAGGGGTGGGACCTCGGCTGCAGGTTGTTATGTGAGATCACTCACTACCCTGGAGTTGCGAGTGTTTTAAGTCACTCTGATTCTTGTGCCTCATTCTGGACCTTCAGTAAATGTTCGTTGAAAGACCAGTCGGTCGTTCGGCAGGATTCACCAGGTGGCTGTCAGGTGCTGGGTGGACACCGTGCACACACGTGGGGAACTGAAACTGCGGAAAGCAAAGCTGTGGGTAAGGGGGAGCACGGTCCGACCCACCTGCACCCCCCATCCCAGCTCACTGGGTTGCAGCTCCACTAGGCCCGCAGTGTGCTGATGTAGCGCACCGTTTAGTGGGTGTGAGCGCATTGTGCTGCTGAGAGTGAGCACGGGCGTGTGCCTGGGCTGGCAGTGCTGGTGCTCTGGGGGAGCTTCTGGCTTCTCTGGGGAGTGGGAGGGCTTGCAAAGTTTTTTCTGGGAAGCACTAGGGTATGTTTCTCCCCATGGATGGGGAAACGGAGTGATAGAGGAAAGCCCGCCTGAGGTCCGCAGCTGGTGAGGGACAGCTCCTAGTTCTGAAAGCGTCAGCCTGACTCCAGGAGGCATTGTTACCCCCACTTCACAGAGAGACCACGACTGACCTTCCCATGCCACCAGCTCCCCACAACCCCAGCTGCGCTGGCTTCCAGGGGCCTGCAGGTCCATGGGCTCAGGATGGAAGGGACTCAGCCTTTCAGTCTTATCTCGAGGTCGCTTGATGTGTCCTTGGGCTCTTGCCGCCCCTCCCTCTCCATGTTCACAAAGTCATCCCCCCGCCCTGCCTGACCCTCACAGGACAGCCACTGTTCCAGTGTGTGCTGTGTATGTGCGCTCTTTGGAGAGAGAATCGGGAGTCTGCCGAGTAGGGACCTCATTCTGGGGTCAATCCAGGCAGCCTCGGACATCCTAGGACGTGTGTCCTGGCCGCCTTGGTTGCGGGAGGGAGGGCTGAGAGCCACACGAGAGCTCCAGGCCTTCCCCAGAGTTTCTGCCCTGGGAGGAGCCTCACCCACCAGCCTGGGACGGGACA